TCCCAAATTATGCTCAATATACTAAAATAAATTTGCTTCACTGAAGACAGATTGATCATTTAATGAACACAGAAAGGTCAGATTTTGACAAGACAAAAGTTTTGTGGCCTTGTCATATGATGCACCAATCCTAGATTACAGCCTCACCTGTGATCAGTTACTGATCAGTCAGTTAGTGTTTGTGTATAAAAAGAACCCAGCAGAACCAGACCTTCACATCAACTGCAACTTGACCTCTGACAACATGCCTAAGATCCACCCTGAGACCAAAGTGTTAATTATCAAGAGGCTGAAGACCAGATCCACTGCTGAGGTGGTGACACCTTCAATGTGTCTCAGCGTCAAGTACAAAGAATAAGAAAAAGATCTGAAATGACTGGAGATGTTTTTGACAAGCCCAGGTCCAGCAGACGCCGCAAGACAACTGCTCAGGAGGACCGTTTGTTGATTCAAAAATCCAAGGCCCCCTTTTCCACTGCAGCAGACTCCACCAGGCCTGGTCACCTCAAGTCCCTGTGTCAACCACAACAGTTTGTAGAATTCTGTCTGGAAATGGCCTCCATGGTCGAATCAGTGCACAGAAACCAGCACTAAACAAAAGGCAATTAAAAAAACATGTGGCATTTGCCAAGGCCCACAGCCTGATAAAAGGATGGACACTGGAAAAGTGGCATTAGGTGGATTTCTCAGATGAATCCTCGGTTGAATTACATCACAGCCGCCGCAAATATTGCAGGAGACCAACTGGAGCCGCATGGATCCAAGATTCACCCAGAAAACAGTTAAGTTTGGTGGCGGAAAAATCCTGGTCTGTGGTTCCATCCAGTCTGGGGGTGTGAGACATTTGCAGGGTGGAAGGCAAATATCAATAACCTAAAATATCAAGAAGTATTAGCTCCTCTTACATTCCCAACCATAAAAGGGTCAAATTTTGCAGCAGGATGGTGCTCCATCACATACTTCTATCTCTACATCAAAGTTTCTCAAGGTGAAGAAGATCAAGGTGCTCCAGGACTGGAGCCCAGTCACCAGACATGAACATCATTGAGCAGGTCTGGGGTAGAATGAAAGAGGAAACATGGAGGCAAAACCAAAGAATCTTGATGAACTCTGGGAGGCTGTAAGACGCTTTCTTTGATATTCCTGATGACTTCATCAACAAATTGTATGAATCATTGTTGAACCGCATGGACGTGTCCTTCAAGCTCATGGAGTCATACAAGATATTAAACATGGATCTCACAGCACCACTACTTCATTCACTGACGTTATGCAACATATTTTTGTATTTGAAGTAAATTATTTGTTCAATTTTCTGTAGGCGACAAAACTTTTGTCTTGCCAAAATCTGACCTTTCTGTGTTCATTAAATGATCAATCTTTCTTCAGTGAAGCAAATTTATTTTAGTAAATTGAGCATAATTTGGGAGGTTTTAGCTTCATATGAGACATTTCTAAAACCAATTGATTAATTTAAAGTCAAGTTATAAGCTTTTGTTTCTACAAAATGGATAAGAGACAAGACTTTTGTCAGGGACTGTAGTAGTAGTAGCAGTAGTAGTAGTAGTAGTAGTAGTAGTAGTAAGAGTAATAGGAGTAGCAGTAATAGTAGGAGTAGTAGGAGTAGTAAAAGTAGTAGTAGTAGTAGTAGTAGTAGGAGTAGTAGCATAGCAACTATTAACTATTAGTTATTAACAAACTTGTGTCAGAAGTACCTGAAGTCCCTGAAGTAAAAGTACATGTAACACAAATAAACACTGTGCAGTTTTTATGTAACATTCCTGACAGCCGGTTGTTTCCATGGAGACGTCACTGCCTTGTCTGAAATGTTCCGCAGTGTTAATGTATCTCTGTCCGGCGCACGTTTATGTTTCCTGTACTTTCTGTAGCAGTAAAATCCCCGGCACTCGAGACAAAGTGATTATTACGAGACGCGACGCTCCATAACCCGCTCTGGTCATTTCCATTACATTTTATTATGTTGATATTAAGAGAGAGAAGAGAGATCGTTTTGGTTTATAGTCTCATTAAAACAGGACATTATCTACGCCTGTCCCCCCCCGTGTCCCGCCTTCGGGCTGTTCTCATAAAACCTCCACGAAAATCAACTGCTTTCTTTTACAAAATATTATAATATTATGAACAACCTGAAACTTTAAGGAAAAATACAATTTCAACACAAAGTTTTAACATTAATTTGTATAAATGGGAATAAGTGAATTTTTGTTGTAAAATCCTGCACTCGGCTCCACTTTTCTCATGTTGGACATTTTTCTGATGAGGGTGTCACGGTCAACAGTCAAAACGATCGTCCTTTAAGAGCGTTTGGAAAGAGACAAGTCTTCATTTGTGCTGCTCTGGTGGGAGGGGCCACGTACAGAGACGCTGGAGACGCTGCTGTGATAAACACCACAGAAAATTAACACGATTTTAATAGAAAATATAATTAAAATATTTTAGTAGAAAATCAGCTGAGGGCCAGATTAAAGGTCTTGGAAGGCCGGATCTGGCCCCTGGGCCGCATGTTTGACACCTGTGGTCTAAACGGTCTGATGGGAGTTCAGGTCTGATGCTGGATTCTGATGGAGGGTTCTGAGAGGTCAGGAGGGTCTGGTAGAGCTATGATTCTAATGGGTCTGGGCAGTTTTTGTGGGTCAGGCGAGTCTGGAAGGTCTGATGAAGCTGGGATTCTGAGGGATCTGGTGGTTCTGGTGGGTCAGGTGGGTCTTGAGGGTCTGGTGGGCTTTTGATTCTGATGGGTTTGGTGGGTCTGGAGGGTCTGGTGTAGCTATGATTTTGATGAGTCTGGTGGGTCAGGTGGGTCTGATGGGTCTGATGGGTCTGGAAGGTCTGAAGGAGCTATGATTCTGATGGGTCAGGTGGATCTGGAGGGTCTGGTGGAGCTTTGATTCTGATGGGTCTGGAGAGGGTCTGGTGGGTCTGGAGGGTCTGGTGGAGCTATGATTCTGATTATTCTGATAGATCTGGTGGGTGTGGTGGGTCTGGAGGCTGTGGTGGAGCTTTGAATCTGAAGGATATGGTGGGTCAGGTGGGTCTGGAGGGTTTGGAGGGTCTGAAGGGTCTATGATTGCGTTGGGTCTGGTGGGTCTGTGATTGTGTTGGGCCAGGTGGGTCTGGTGGGTCTGAAGGGTCTGGTGGGTCTGAAGGGTCTGGTGGAGCTTTGATTCTGATGGATCTGGTGGGCCAGGTGGGTCTGGAAGGTTTGATGGAGCTCATGGTAGAACGTAGGGCTGTGCCAAAAATCGAAAAGTCGACAGATCGTGACCTCAACTTTGGTCGATCTCGATGATAAAAGCATGCACTAATCATGTAGCGGTAAGAGCGCACCGTGCTTTACGCTTTTGTTTAGGAACAAGCCGCCGGAACCATGTCTCCTCACGTGTTCACAAGTTTTGATTTACATCTGCAGAATCTGACTTGAAGTTCTCCGTCTCTGTGTGTGGTTTCGTCTCCCGGCAGCTCTTCACCTTTGCTCCTCTTTGTGCTTCTTGTCGTTATAATCCAAGTTACGGAAAGTAAATAGCTATTTTCTCACTGTTGTCACGGTAACACACACTTGCTTTAAGGTTTAAAGTATTGTACAAATTCATGCCGACCTTTAAATGTGAATTTCTTCGGAATTGTTGCTCACAAAAATAACAACAACAAAAAAAATCTAGTGATCCTGACATCCTGCTCTTTACATCTTTAATCCACACCTGTATGTTTTTAAAAAAGATGGAAGAAAATCAAATCAAAAATCCAGATCCATCAATAAGGGGGGGTTAGAAAAAAATCCTGATTCTTTTTTTCCTCACATCGCCCAGTTCTAGTGGTACATGTGGTGCTTATTCTTCACGTGCAGACATACGAGTGTGTGAAATGTGCCCGAGGACAGACACAAGAGCCTGTGCCAAATGGTCCCTGTCCCGGAGAATAACACATGTGATGACTACAGGCTGTGCGCAAATGACTCTTTGAATTGTGCTGCAGATGGAGAAAAAAGGGCCGTTAAAAGAAGAACCGAGCGACAGGACTGTAGGTGAGGGTTAACGAGAAGGTAAGACGCGGAGATTGTCGTTCTTATCCCCAGTTCACGCCAAAGTCAGAGGGACAATCTACACCAGCAATGCCAAACATGCATCCAAAGAGCGTTTTTACAGTACGAGGAGCTCAAATCAGGATTGAGTTCAAATGTTTGGGTGATAAAATGTGAGAATACACGAGGCTGGTGTTGCAGGAGCAGTTCTGATGCGTCTGGTGTAAACTGAAGCTTTCAAATATTTGAGAGTTTGCAGCTTCGTCTGTGGTGGGTGTGGCTCTAGCTCCAATTTAGTTGAGAGTAAAGTTTTAGACTAAAGATTTCACATTGAGGAAGGTGAAATTTTTCCTAAATATTAAGTAAAATGTAACCCACGTCTAATACGGCGACTTTTATTTTGGCGAGTCCACTTCACCTTCCACTTCCTTCAAGTTCACGCAGTTTACTTCTCGGCTGTGCGAACTTTTCAAACAAAGTACTGCAACTCCCAAAAAAACTACGCATTTCACCCGCATTTTAAGCTAAACAATTATTTTTTATTTATTTTTTTAATGGATGGAATCTACTGAATGAACTACAACAAATCTCAACTCAACAAACCACCAGACTAGACACTTGTGCGGTTCGAAAAACTTAGTTTTTTTTCCTCCGCCGCTTCTCGAACCTTCTCGAACGTGGGTCATAAATCGCGATTCCCAAAGCGTGGATTATACAAACTGAAATACTCAAATTGTGGATTATAACGGAACTTTTGTGAACAGACGTATCCATTTTTGTTTAACAGAGTCTAATTTATTTTTTACCCCCCAAAAAAGTGGAACTTGAACTTCTGTGTTTGTTTGTTTATAATTTACTTTGCCTTAAATATACATATATCATAATCACAATACTGTTTGTCTGGTTTTCATTCACACCCCGGGCTCCTTCAAAGAACAGCTCTTCTGTTCCTGTTAACATCCATCAAGCCTCAAAATTAGTGCTACAAAAAGCTACATATTCCATTACTCAAGTACAGAAAAGCCGCAGTTTCAGCGTCAGAGTTAGTCATCGGCGAGTTGAGTCTCACCCTGCAGGTCCTGGATGGTGTCACTCTTGTTGTTCCTCTCCCTCCTCTCCTCCTCCAGTTCGCAGCGAGCGTCTCTCAGCTCTGCGTCTCTCTCCTGTGAGCCGAGCTCCAGCTGAGCACACCTCTGCTCCTGCTCCCTCAGGCTCAGCTCCAGAGCCTGCACGTGTTTGTGCACCTCGGCCTGGGCCTTCTTCAGCCGGGACACGTTCTCCTGCTCCTCCTGAAGCTGCTGTGACGTCTGCTCCAGCTGACAACAACAACAACAACAACAACAACAACAAGATCATTTAGAGCAGGTGTGGGCAAACTTTTTGACTCGTGGGCCACAAAGGGTTTTAAAATTTGACGGAAGGGCCAGACATGGATAGAACCTTTTTGTAATCCACCACATAAGAGAAAAAAATAACATGGGATAAGTAGAAAACATACCAAAATTTATTGAAAGTAATTAAAAAATAAATAAATCCCATAATTGAAAATCATTACAACAGGATTACAACAAAATATCTGTTTTTCAAGTCTCACGGTATTTACTATGTATTAAAATTACTTTAAAAACACTTAAAATTATTATTATTATTCAAGTTCGGCCAGATTAAAAAGATTAAAGGGCTGCATATGTTCACATGTTATTAGGAGTGTAACGATATTGGCGATATCACAATATCGTCGTGGTCTGGTCACGGTAGTAAACTGTGTGTCTTTAGGCAAAAATAGGAATGTTCAGTCGACTCCTGTGGCGCATAGTACTGTAAACTACATGGACCATAATCCTTTGCAGCCACGTCATCGGCCTGTGTGCCCGTTGTGGACGCACAAGCCCATGACCTGCTCATAGGTCAATGAACCTGCCCAGGGACGACAGGTGGAAATGAGCACTGGTGCTACAACCTGGAACAATGAGTCTCTCCTGTTAAGGTTCATGTGAAAATTGTGCGCTGTCCCTGCCTCAAATAAATAAATAAATCAAATCAAATACCAGCAGCTTTTAAGTCTGAGGTCTAGAAGCATTTTGGGTTTGTCGTGACACGAAAGGAGGAAAGAGAAAAGGTGACGGACAAACAACAGACTCAGTGTGCGGTTCACGTCGGAGAAACACTACGACATGAGAAGGACCTTGATAAACCCAAACACCGAAAACCTTCAAGAACGTGTTCAGAAAATCAAGTCGGCGCAAAAAAACTATACATGAACCATTTACAACAGCGCTCAAAAAATAACGAAATACATCACAGGATATAAAGCGAGTGATTTGCACCATTTCCCCGGTGGACGGCGTCAGGTTTAAAAGGTTAGAGGCTAAACTGGAACCGAAATATAAAATGCCATTGCACTTAGGTTTTTTTTTTTTTTCATTTCCTACAAGGACTCAAATATACATTGAGTAATAATGTGTTTAATGCAGCTTTGCGCACATTTGTTTACATTTTACAGAAACAAAACTTAAAGCCACATGGCTCATTTACATAAGCCTGAAAAAAAACCTGCTGGTTCCTGGTGCACTGATGTGGTTCAGCTTCTGTCAGACTACTCCACGAGGCTCCTGACTACAGTTTTATTACAAGTGTTTAGCTGTTAGCTGAATTTTGCACTTCAGCTTCAAAGGTTTTTCTGTTCAAAATGTCACTGATATGAAAATGAACAATAAACAATAAATGTTGCACCAAATGATATAATGTCAGTCTTGTTATTATGTTTAATACTGTAATATCATGAGCTTTCCCACAATACCACAATAAATATCGTACCATGAGGTTCATACCGCGACGATATCGTATCGTGACACTTGGATATCGTTACATCCCTACATGTCATAGTTCAGGACTAGAAGACTTATATATATATATTTTATTTAATCTTAGTTTTTTTCATATGTTGTGGTCTTATGGCCACACAATAATGCCACAAAATATACAAGTATCCAAATGCCACATTTAAACCCCCTCCTCCCCATTCCCAAACCCCGATTCGCCCTCCCCACACCCACCCTTAACAGACACTGAAAAAAAAAAAAATGAAAAAAAAAAGAGAGAAAATATTATTATTATTATCATTATATATTTTCTCAAGACTAGAAGATTAATCACAGTCAAATGGATTTTGAATGAACACAAAAAGTAACACAATCTTATAAATAATCAAATAACTGTCTGTCTTGTTGCGTGTACAAACATCTGTCCTTGTGGTTTAGAGCTGTACGAACATGCTCTGAAATGTGCTTCTTCTATTTGTCACGTCAGATTTCAGTCTTTAAAACATTGGAGAAGTTCTTGTCCACTTGTCGTTTTGTTTCTCAAGAGTTTAAACCTAAACCGCCTCTCTCTGATCTGAAAAGGTCACCTCCTAAACCCCAGCACCCCAGCGCCTGTCCGTAAACTGAGAATGACACAAACTCGTCCTCTGTCAGCAGCTTGGAGATTGTATTTCATTATTTAAAACGGTAAAAGCGCGGGCTACATACGGCGGCTTTAATACAAAATGCATAAGTCGTGTATGAGAAATATTCTAATGTGTTTCACAATGAGCTCCCGCTGCTGCATTGTGCTTACAGACAGAACCGTGCGCCGAGCTCGGGGAGAATTATGCGCCATTACTCACCCGCAGACGAAAGGGGAGTGTACATCACCGAAGTACAAGTAAATCACACAGTACACGGCATTAAATGTACTTATATAAACTTATACTAAGGCCAGTTTGTCTTAGTGTTTTAAAGAGCAGCGCGCGTTCAAATCACGGACGGCACAAAGACGAATATGACTGTCCGGAGATACAGGGACGCGGAAGGGCATCTGAGATAAACAAGAAGAGGCTCCTCACTTGTTTCTGCAGCTGTAGGTTCTTCTCGTTGGAGATCTGGGAGTCCTGGTTCCTCCTCCTCAGTTCCTCCAGCTGGTCCCTCAGGTTGTTCACTGATGACAGAGATACAACATTTTACACATTTCGTAACAAAAATGCGACTTATAATCAGTGTCGGGAAGGTGACTTTTAAAATGTAATCCCCTACAGATTACAGATTACACACCCCAAAATGTAGTTTGTAACAGAATCCATTAAATTACTTAAAGTGAGTAATGTAATCTGAATACTTTGGATTACTTGATTTGCTGTAGAGAAACAAAGACCAGGATATCGTAACATAAGATGTTTTGTCTGATAAAAGAAAATAAAAAAAGTCCAGTCTTTAGTTAACCAGATTACAAATATTATTGATAGAAGAAGAAGACACATCAGCAGTTTAGTCCTGTTTAAAGTCCTGGTTTAGTCCTGGTTTAGTCCTGGTTTAGTCGTCCTGGTTTAAGTCCTGGTTTATCCTGGTTTAGTCTTGGTTTAGTCCTGGTTAGTCTGGTTTAGTCCTGGTTTAGTCCTGGTTTAGTCTTGGTTTTTGGTTTAGTTTAGTCCTGGTTTAGTCTGTTTAGTCTTGGTTTAGTTTAGTCTGGTTTAGTCCTGGTTTAGTCCTGGTTTAGTCTTGGTTTAGTCTTGGTTTAGTCCTGGTTTAGTCCTGGTTTAGTCCTGGTTTAGTCCTGGTTTAGTTTGGTTTAGACCTGGTTTAGTCCTGGTTTAGTCTGGTTTAGTTTAGTCCTGGTTTAGTCCTGGTTTATCCTGGTGGTTAGTTTAGTCCTGGTTTAGTCCTGGTTTAGTCTTGGTTTTGTTTCCTGTTTAGGTTTAGTCTTTAGTTGGTTTAGTCCTGGTTTAGTCCTGGTTTAGTCCTGGTTTAGTTTTGGTTTAGTCCTGGTTTAGTCCTGGTTTAGTCCTGGTTTAGTCCTGGTTTAGTTCTTGGTTTAGTCCTGGTTTAGTCCTGGTTTAGTCTTGGGTTTAGTCTTGGTTTAGTCTTGGTTTAGTTTTTGGTTTAGTCCTGGTTTAGTCCTGGTTTAGTCCTGGTTTAGTCTTGGTTTAGTCTTGGTTTAGTCCTGGTTTTAGTCCTGGTTTAGTCCTGGTTTAGTCTTGGTTTAGTCCTGGTTTAGTCCTGGTTTAGTCCTGGTTTAGTTGGTTTAGACCTGGTTTAGTCCTGGTTTAGTCCTGGTTTAGTCTTGGTTTAGACCTGGTTTAGTCCTGGTTTAGTCTGGTTTAGTCTTGGTTTAGTCCTGGTTTAGTCCTGGGTTTAGTCCTGGTTTAGTCCTGGTTTAGTCTTTGTTTAGTCCTGGTTTAGTCCTGGTTTAGTCCTTGGTTTAGTCTTGGTTTAGTCCTGGTTTAGTCCTGGTTTAGTCTTGGTTTAGTCCTTGGTTTAGTCCTGGTTTAGTTTTTGGTTTAGTCCTGGTTTAGTCCTGGTTTAGTCTTGGTTTAGTCTTGGTTTAGTCCTGGTTTAGTCTTGGTTTAGTCTTGGTTTAGACCTGGTTTAGTCCAAAATGTGAAAACAGGAAAATCCCTCTGTGTAATCCATTTATTTCAACAAAGTAACTGTAATCCAATTACCACTCACTGAAACAGTAACTGTAACTGGATACAGTTACTCATCATTTGTACTCTGATTACATAACTCCGGTACATGTAATCTGTTACTCCCCGACACTGGTTATAATATTATTTTTTTATTAAACTTCCATGTATTTGAGTAAAATGTCTTGAGGTCAAAATAAGTCCAATGTGTCCTGTTAAAATCTAACGGCTCTATTCACGCGTACGTCACAAAACCAGAAGACGTTCGGAAACATGTGGATGGAAACTTCCTTTGGACTCTTTTGCGATAGTAACTCTGACAAAACTTGTGAAAATTGAGAAAATGGAGCGGTTTTCGTCATTTAGAAGTCATTGTATTCTTTCTTTGTTTCCTGTTTTTGTCAATTCTCCTGGAGTTTAAAATGTTATCAAAAACCCATCATGGTGAATCATTAGGATGCTCAGAATGCATAAGGTAAGAGAGGAATAACTTTGGATCACTGCAAACTAGTTCTGCTTTTCAGACTTTTAGACAGAAAAAAACGAGCTTTAAAAGTGTGCAGCGGTGACTTGAGGACAGAATACTGAGCAGCTTTGTGGCTGCACTGAGCACTTTGTCTTTGAGTTTGAGTGACGCGTTTAAAATCGCATAATGGAGAAAGCTAATGCAGCGAGCAGACTGACGCTCACACAACAGTCGAGTTCACAAGTTTTTGTTTTTTTTTAAAGATAAGTGTGCGTGGGTGGGTAACAAAGGGTGGATACTCTGAGGAATCTGAATTTAAAACAAAGAGTTATTTCACTTTTTTCTTTGCTACATCATTCCATACGTCCCGCTTCAGTCTGTGTCTACAGCGTGTGGCTGAGTGGACGTCTCCTCACGTTCGTTCTCCAGGACTCGTTTCCTCTCCGTCTCCAGCTCCACCTTCCTCAGGTTCTCCGTGCTCTGGTGCTGGAGAAGAGCTCTGTCCCTCTCCATCTGCCTGAGGGACGACACGGACTCAGACACACAGGACAAGTGTGAGACAGGACAGGACAGTGGACAGGACAAGTGTGAGACACGGACAGGACAAGTGTGAGGACAAGTGTGAGACAGGACAGGACAGGACAGGACAGGACAGGGACAGGACAAGTGTGAGACACGGACAGGACAAGTGTGAGACAGGGACAGGACAAGTGTGACAGACAGGACAGGACAAGTGTGAGACAGGGACAGGACAAGTGTGGACAAGTGTGAGACAGGGACAGGACAAGTGTGAGACAGGGACAGGACAAGTGTGAGACACGGACAGGACAAGTGTGAGACAGGGACAGGACAAGTGTGAGACAGGGACAGAATAACAAAAGGACAGTCCAGTTCGATACTTAAACATTGATCAGAATCATGTTTTGAAGCATGACGGTGCATTCTGGTGATCCTGAACATATAATCATATAAAATCACCTGAATGTCCCACTACTTACAAAGAAAGTGTGTGTTTTTGTATTTCTTATAATAATAATAATAATAATAATAATAATAATAATACATTACTACCAATCTGTGCGATCAGCCTCTCTGAACACACACACACAAACCACTTTCATAGCAGCGAATGAGGGGGGAGGGCCTTGCCAAAGGACACAACTACAGTTTGTGCCACTGATGCTTCACTGTGGCATCTGATTTTCCCAGTGATCTCCCATCCAAGTCCTGACCAGACTCTGACCAGACTCTGACCAGACTCTGACCAGACTCTGACCCTGACCAGACTCTGACCAGACTCTGACCAGACTCTGACCAGACTCTGTCCAGACCCTGACCAGACTCTGACCAGACTCTGATGAGACCAGGCTTTAAACTGGGACATGGGCCTTGGCCATGTATTGTGTTTTAATTTTTAATTTATTTATTTATTTATGTTTATTAAGGACATCACAATCCCATTAGACAAACCAGATGTGTTGCTTTGAGTGTTTCAGCACAAGTGTGAGTTTTCAACACCTGTTCATATAAAAATATAAACTACACACATAAAAACAGAGAACACAAGACACATAAAATACAGATACATTTTTGGTTTGGAAATGACAGATGAGAACATCTTTCGTTGTTTAGGGGCGACAGGGGCGACAGGGGACAGGGGCGACAGGGGCGACAGGGGCGACAGGGGCGACAGGGGCTCAGTGGTTGAAGTACAGAGGTCGATTCCCACTGGGATCTGTCATTGTGTCCTTAAGGCAAGACATTTAACCCTTTGCCCAGTATGAAAGTGCCCAGTATGTGTGGTGGTGGTGGTGGTGGGAGGGGCTGATGTGCAGAGTGGCAGCCTCACTTCCATCAGTCTGCCCCGGGGCAGTTGTGGCTACAGTAATATCTCACCACCACAGAGTGTGGAGTGAATGAAGAATACACTGTTAAAAAAACTCAAATCTTTGAGGTTATTTTATTTTTGTTTGTATTTATTTGGATGACATATTCACTCTTCACAATATTGAGATGAAGATGTACGTCCTTAAAAACACTGCCCACATGGTACTCGCTGTAGTTTATAGTATCACTTGTGTGTACTTGTGTGTACTTGTGTGTACTTGTGTGTACTTGTGTGTACTTGTGTGTACGATTAGACTGACCTCTTTGTCCAGTTCTTTGACCAGTTTGTCTAAACGGTTGGTGGCGTTCCTGCAGACAGATTAGCACATGATACATGTCATAATCACAACAGACCGGAGTTTAGTCCTGGTCGAGTCGAGTCACCGTCTGCAGAGCGCTCCACTTAAACTCTCATTTCAGCACTGATACTTTAATCACTGCTGATACTCTATTTCTGATATTGTACTTGACAAAAGCATCAGGTAGTACTTCAGTGTACTAGTATCACACACGGCTCAGGCAGTGTAAGAGAAGTGAAGTCATTTATCGTCCACTTACATGTCTGAGTCTAACTCCGTCTCACAAGAGCTGCATTTACATGCTCACTTCCCCTGCACACTAATCTCATGTCATTATCTAAATTGTGGAATATTTCTGTCTCACTGGAGCAGATCAGCCTTCAGACTCACTACACTTGTTATAAAAACTCTCTTTTGGAAGAAAAGTCGAGGAGCTTGAACATTTAAAGATCAAATGTTCACTTCTCAAATCATATCGACTTCTTATTGACAAATAAACTTCAACTAGAGTCTTAAGCAGCAGGTCTCCAGACTTTTACATCCAACTTTCCACGGACGAACTGAAAACTTCCACAACAGGTGCTACTTCAGAGTACTAGTATCACACAGTGCAGACAGTACTTCAGAGTACTAGTATCACACAGTGCAGACAGTACTTCAGAGTACTAGTATCACACAGTGCAGAGTACTTCAGAGTACTTCAGAGTACTAGTATCACACAGTGCAGACAGTACTTCAGAGTACTAGTATCACACAGTGCAGACAGTACTTCAGAGTACTAGTATCACACAGTGCAGATAGTACTTCAGAGTACTACTAACACACACGGGTCAGTCAGTATTGCAGAGTACTAGTGTCACACAGCAGAGGTGGGACCAAGTCATTGTTTTGCGAGTCTCAAGTCCGAGTCAAGTCAACAAGTCAAATACAGGCAAGTCCAAGTCGAGTCTCGAGTCACTGGTCCATGAGTCCAAGTCAAGTCCAAGTCGTCTGTTTTGAGCTTCAAGTCATTTCAAGTCTTTAAACCAGCTTACATTTTTGCAATTTATCACTTTTAAGATAAAATGTACTTAAAAAAATCATAGTATATTTATACATGAGTATTTATAGAGTATATAAGAGTTATAGAAATGTTAATTTTTCTTTTTTAAATGTCTGGACAAGATCTTAGAGTGAATCATTACGATCAGAATAGAAAGAATTCAGATTTAAAAGTGCTTCTCAAAATCTTCTCAAGTCACAGGCCTCAATTCAACTCAAGTCCCAAGTCACTGACCTTCAAGTCCAAGTCGAGTCCCAAGTCTTAGTCCATTTTATCAAGTCAAGTCTCAAGTCCGAAAAATAGTGACTCAAGTCTGACTCGAGTCCAAGTCACGACTTGAAAGTCCCACCTCTTTCACACAGTTCAGACAGTACTTCAGAGTACTAGTTCAGATAGTGCAGTAGTGTACTTGAGGTATGTGTGTGTGTGTGTGTGTATGTTGTGCGAGAGTGTGTGTTGTGTGTGTGTTGTGTGTGTGTGTGTGTGTGTGTGTGTGTGTGTGTGTGTGTGTGTGTGTGTGTGTGTGTGTGTGTGTGTGTGTGTATGTGTGTGTGTGTGTGTGTGTGTGTGTGTGTGTGTGTGTGTGTGTGTGTGTGTGTGTGTGTGTGTGTGTGTGTGTGTGTGTGTATGTGTGTGTGTGTGTGTGTGTGTGTGTGTGTGTGTGTGTGTGTGTGTATGTGTGTGTGTGTGTGTGTGTGTGTGTGTGTGTGTGTGTGTGTGTGTGTGTGTGTGTGTGTGTGTGTGTGTGTGTGTGTGTGTGTGTGTGTGTGTGTGTGTGTGTGTGTGTGTGTGTGTGTGTTGTGTGTGTGTGTGTGTGTGTGTGTGTGTGTGTGTGTGTGTGTGTGTGTGTGTGTGTGTGTGTGTGTGTGTGTGTGTGTGTGTGTGTGTGTGTGTGTGTGTGTGTGTGTGTGTATGTGTGTGTGTGTGTGTGTGTGTGTGTGTGTGTGTGTATGTGTGTGTGTGTGTGTGTGTGTGTGTGTGTGTGTGTGTGTGTGTGTGTGTGTGTGTGTGTGTGTGTGTGTGTGTGTGTGTGTGTGTGTGTGTGTGTGTGTGTGTGTGTGTGTGTGTGTGTGTGTGTGTGTGTGTGTGTGTGTGTGTGTGTGTGTGTGTGTGTGTGTGTGTGTGTGTGTGTGTGTGTGTGTGTGTGTGTGTGTGTGTGTGTGTGTGTGTGTGTGTGTGTGTATGTGTGTGTGTGTGTGTGTGTGTGTGTGTGTGTGTGTGTGTGTGTGTGTGTGTGTGTGTGTGTGTGTATGTGTGTGTGTGTGTGTGTGTGTGTGTGTGTGTGTGTGTGTGTGTGTGTGTGTGTGTGTGTGTGTGTGTGTGTGTGTGTGTGTGTGTGTGTGTGTGTGTGTGTGTGTGTGTGTGTGTATGTGTGTGTGTGTGTGTGTGTGTGTGTGTGTATGTGTGTGTGTGTGTGTGTGTGTGTGTGTGTGTGTGTGTGTGTGTGTGTGTGTGTGTGTGTGTGTGTGTGTGTGTGTGTGTGTGTGTGTGTGTGTGTGTGTGTATGTGTGTGTGTGTGTGTGTGTGTGTGTGTGTGTGTGTGTGTGTGTGTGTGTGTGTGTGTGTGTGTGTGTGTGTCTGTAGTGTGTGTGTGTATGTGTGTGTGTGTGTGTGTGTGTGTGTGTGTGTATGTGTGTGTGTGTGTGTGTGTGTGTGTGTGTGTGTGTGTGTGTGTGTGTATGTGTGTGTGTGTGTGTGTGTGTGTGTGTGTGTGTGTATGTGTGTGTGTGTGTGTGTGTGTGTGTGTGTGTATGTGTGTGTGTGTGTGTGTGTGTGTGTGTGTGTGTGTGTGTGTGTGTGTGTGTGTATGTGTGTGTGTGTGTGTGTGTGTGTGTGTGTGTGTAGTGTGTGTGTGTGTGTGTGTATGTGTGTGTGTGTGTGTGTGTGTATGTGTGTGTGTGTGTGTATGTGTGTGTGTGTGTGTGTGTGTGTGTGTGTGTGTGTGTGTGTGTGTGTGTGTGTGTGTGTGTGTGTGTGTGTGTCTTACTTGCACTTGTTCTCCAGCTCGTCCTTGGCCTGCATCTCATGGTCCAACTTCTGCTCTAGATCGTGCAGCTTCTTCTGGAGCTGAACAAACACAAGGACCAACAGGAACGGATCAGAACTCAATCAAACTCATATAAACACACTCTCTCTCCCCTCTTCCATCCTGCAATTTCACCTACAACCGTTTTCCCTCTTCCTCCGCTCGACCTCTTTTTTCGAGTTTTTGAGCTTTAAAGAGTCAAACAAGTCTAGTCCAGGTTCAGTTCCAGCGCTTCAGTCGACTTTGTACCTGCTGCGGTTTAAGATTTTAACAATACTGTACATCAGGGGCGTCAAACTCATTTTGGTCCAGGGGCCGAATCCAACCTACTTTGATCCCAAAGGGGCCGGATCAGAAAACTCATGTCATATATACTTAAAAAACAGCAATAAGTTCAAATATTTGTGCAGAGAAACACAAATCTATTACAGAAATCTTTTTTAACTGATGAACTGTTTCTTTTACAAAATATTATAATATTATGTACAAACCTGAAACTTTAAGATAAATGCAATTTCTACACAATGTTTTAACATGAACTTGTATGTAAACAGGAATAAGTCAATTTTTGTTGTAAAATCCTGCACTCGGCTCCACTTTTCTCATGTTGGACATTTTTCTGATGAGGGTGTCACGGTCAACAGTCAAAACGATCGTCCTTTAAGAGCGTTTGGAAAGAGACAAGTCTTCATTTGTGCTGCTCTGGTGGGAGGGGCCACGTACAGAGACGCTGGAGACGCTGCTGTGATAAACACCACAGAAAATTAACAAGATTTTAATAGAAAATATGATTAAAATATTTTTGTAGAAAATCAGCTGAGGGCCACATTAAAGGTCTTGGAGGGCTGGATCCGGCCCCCGGGCCTTATGTTTGACACCTGTGCTGTACATTTAAAAAGAGTTTAGTGGGTTTTCAATGAGCTTTAGAGTTAAACTGACAGGAAATAATGTAGTTTCAGTTTGTGTTTTTGTGATTCGTGACTCTCTCCTCACATCCTGACTCGTCTGTAGGATTGTTCTGGTGTAAAAAGCCTCGTCTCCGTTTCGTGAGCTGTAGAGGGTTTGGTTTGGACCCGCAGCGGATGTAAACAGCAGATGAAGACACAGACACGCTGACCCCAAATGTGTTTTAGATTTTATGCAGTAACAAAAGTCCACAGAGCAGATGGCGAAACCGGAACCGGATCTACACAAAACTCTACAGAAACGCTTCGTCAAGGCCAAGACCAGAGAAGATTTAAAGTGTGATTTTTATTGTTTCAGCTGACGTCATTGTTATTAAAAGACCGCGTTGCTGCTGGGAAATATTTTGGTCGGAGGCAAGAAACACGGTAGCGTCAAACACAGTGCGTAACCTCGCGTATTTCTCCCGATAATGGTAAATTCCTGCTGCATTATCAAATGCACAAATAGAAGCACGGAAGAAGGAAAATGTCTTTTTCATGTTCTGAGTGAAAAGAACCACTAACGGCGAATTAAACGTCTTTCAAACATCCGCAGAGCAAACGTAGAAGATCCTAACAAACCGTGGACTCAACAAGTTCAACAACACATCGAGACTCTTGGAGGTTTTCATCTTTTCTGCTGTGAATGGCCCAGGAGTTTCCACCAAGTCATTGTGGATGTCGCCCAAGTGAATATTTGTCCAGGTAGTTGGAGATTCTGACCAGAAATTTGGTTTGGTCCAGGGACGGGCATTCGATGAAATTTTCTTCATCGATCGTTCGGAAGAATTAACGATCGATTATCGATTAATCATTAACGTTTTTATATTAAAATGATCATCATTATTATTACTATCTGCACTAATCTGCATAAATAAATTCAACTTTACGACATATAAACATAACGACTCTAGAGCCACATCAGCTGTTTGACATTATAATGTGTTTAATTCAGTTTTGTTCAAATCTCACAGAAACAAAACTTAAAACCACATCACTAATTTACATAAACTAAGTGAAGATAAAACTCCAGCTCTTGTGTCGCTGATGTGGTTCAACTTGTGTTGGATTAAAAGACATGACTCAGGTGAATACAGGTCAGTGTGACCAGATTTGTGTTTGTCAAAACCAGGACAGCGTACGGGGGGAGGGGGGCGGGGCCTCGTCATCCACATTGAGCGACTCTCACCTGGAAAAACTTTTTCCCACTGGACACAGAAACATATGTGCTGCTGCTTATCCACTATGCCACTGTGCACATGGACTCACACTTGTCCCAACGCAACGGAAAGTGTGGAATTTCTTGTACAAATCATCGTTAAATCCACATTTGTGCTTCGGTTCGTTACAGACTGACCCACTGTTTGTGTCTCGCTCCTTCTGATGCAGAGACACATGTACACACCTGTTTGGTCACGACACACACAAACATACATTCGGTTTGTCGATTAAAATGAACGTAATCGATGAAATTCTTAATGATCAATTATCGATTAATCATGCCCATCCCTAGTTTGGTCCACCTTTTGTCGGGTTGAAAAGGGTGATTTGTCGTCCGTCGATGCTTATGACCAATTTCTGGTCAAATGGTCTTGGGTCGTCTGCCGTTAGAGTGGATAAATAACCGGGATCAATACCCTTTACGTGCTTTCTCGCTCCGTCCGTCATGTTGAATTAGTGTTTCTTGCCGCCGACCAAAATAATTCCGTGCGCTTTTGTCAACAATGAAACTCGCCTATATTTCACAAACAAGTGTAACCCAGTGAGTGCTTCTGGAGGTTCTGAGTTTTCACGTCCGTGTCAGATTTTATTAACTAACGTCACTCAGGACAGAGCACATGTCACGTACCGGGGCAGCTGGAGCCAAACTGGGTCTATCAACAGTGTCGGGGAGTAACAGATTACATGTACCAGAGTTATGTAATCAGAGTACAAATGATGAGTAACTGTATTCAGTTACAGTTACTGTTTCAGTGAGTGGTAATTGGATTACAGTTACTTTGTTGAAATAAATGGATTACACAGAGGGATTTTCCTGTTTTCACATTTTGGGCTAAATCCCCTTTTTTTTTTTTTTTTTTTTTTTTTCCAGTAATTCCACTCATTGCCAGAAACTAAACCAGGTCTAAAACCAGGACTAAATGAGGATTAAAACCAGGTCTTAACCAGGACTAAATCCAGGTCTAAACCAGGACTAAAAAACTAAAACCAGGTCTAAACTAGATCTAAACTAGATCTAAACCAGGTCTTAACTAGATCGAAACCAGGTCTAAAACAGGATTAAAACAGGACTAAACCGTACTGTGTGGACGTGTCTCCTCTTCTTCTATCAATTATATTTTTTATTTGGTTCAGTAAAGTCTGGGCTTTTTATTTTCTTTTATCAGACAAAACATCTTATGTTATGATTTCCTGGTCTTTAGCTTCTCTACAGCAAATCAAGTAATCCAAAGTATTCAGATTACATTACTCACTTTAAGTAAATGAATGGATTATGTTACAAACTACATTTTGGGGGATGTAATCTGTAATCTGTAGGGGATTACATTTTAAAAGTCACCTTCCCAACACTGTCTATCAAATGTTTTTTTTTTTTTTTATGGATTTGCAAAAACATTTAAATATCGAAATATCATATCATTTAATGTGACGATACAGAATCGACATCGTGGGCTGCTGTGTTTTTAAATCATGTTTGACGTATCAGAAATATGTTCTTTCTTAAAATGCGGGAGGCTCTAGTAAAGCTCTCTCTACTTTCTGTCATTTTCAGTTTTCTTCACAAATTGCTTCTTGATTTGTGCCAAAAGTATAATGTATTACAGCAGGTATTATCCCCAAATTATTATTATTAATTATACCAAATTAAGTCAAAAATTATAAGAAAAACCTGTCATGTGCACTTTAATTTGAAGCGCTAATTAAAAAGCCTTTTGCAGTGTGACAAAAGAGTTTATTGTGCGTAAGTTTTGCAAGACAAAAAAAAAGAATCTGTTATCCAGGGCCATACTGAATCTGGTTACTGTAATCACTCATTATCAAGATATTTACAGATGATGACAGATGTGGGGGCTGGGAGGGACTCAGGGTGGAGGTTCTGTCTCAGATGGTCAGTCCAGGTGATCCAGGACCCTCCCAATGAGGTTCATTAAGTCTTCTAGGTCTGCTTCAAAACTGAAGAAGCAGCTTGGATGAGCTGCGAAACGTCTTCAAACAAACTAACTTTTGTCCAGTCGACAAACTGAATTTGCTCCGCGCCACAATTCGATATATTGTGATGGTCCACGATATTATTGAGTGCGTATACATGCACATCAATAACCCGGTTATGATCGGGTTTTTTGAGTATCCCGGTTTCTTGATGGTGCATGTAAACGCAGTAACCCGGTTTCAGTAACCCGGTTATTAGAAACCGGGTTACTGTAGCTGGTTTATTCCGATAAGTAACCGGGTTACTTGTGGCATGTAAACGCAGTATCCCCGGTTACTGCAACATAAAGTTGAGTGCGCATGCGTCCAAAAGACACTTTCCAGCCTTTCACCACAACAAGTAGTGACATAAATAAATTGACCAACATAAATAAAGTGACCAAACGAGTGAAATGACTGTAAAATAAAGAGCTGCGCTAAACCTGCACATGTACAACCTGCACTCGTGTGACGCTGAAAAGCTAAAACATGAACTATCTCCTATACAACACACACACAGAACACACTTACCATCATTAGCGCCTCTTCTGTCACAGAAATAACACACATAATCCACAGAGTCGTGTCATTTAGTCCAAAAGAAACTGATCGCATCAGCGGCGCAAGGAGCGAGTTGTTTTTATCGCCGCTAACAGTTTATGCTAATTAGCCAAACGGTCTTAAGTTTCGTTTCTGTAAAACGTAAACAAATGTGATCACAGCTGAATGATCTGATCAAACGGGCTGATGTGTCTATAGTGTTTATGGTTTATATGTTGTAAAGTTGAGTTTATTTATGCAGAAGATTTTAATGAAGAATCTGCACAGTGGATTGTGGGAGATCTCGTAGCTCCTTAGCTTCTTATGCTAAAGGAGCTCACGGTTTGTATTTTTCCTGGTTTATTAAATCGATTTAAGTTAATTTTTGCGCCTGCGCATTTGTAAGATTATGTCAAGAAACCGGGATACTCCATTTGATCATGTACACGCGGATATGAGTGTCCCGGTTTCTCAGTGCGCATGTAAACGCAGTAACATGAATACTGACAGAACCGGGATATGGCTAATAACCGGGTTATTGATGTGCATGTAAACGCACTCATTGTGAGAACTTCTGATGATTTTGGTTATTGTTGCATCCCTACATTTTAAAACCGTTATTCCGGCCCAGGTGAGTCTCTCGCTGTTCTTCTGTTTTCTTAATCTCAAAAACAGTAGCCAACACTGACCCTTGCGTCCGTCAGAGCACTCGTGTCTCACCTCAGAGTTCTTGTCTGCGTTCTTCTCTTTGTCCTTCTTCTCCTCCGTCCGGTCTTTACAGTTCTCTTCTTCCTCCTCCTCCTCCTCAAAGTCCTCACCCCCCCTCAGCAGCCTGCAACACAACAACAACAGCACGTGCAGCATGAGAGCGGGAATTCAACCTTCAACCACATCCTGACCAGACTAATCAGTTTGAGAGCAACAGAATCTCTAGAGTTTAACCTGAGCTGGAGACAGATTTGTTTCAGATTTGTTGACCTGGTTTAAAATCTCCCATAAAGTTATATCAACCCCAGCACTGTTTTTTTTGTTTTCTTTTTTTTTTTTACTGCACACATCACTAATAAACAGACTTCACAGACGCTCTCTCTCTCTCTCATGACGCAGCTGCAGCGCCCTCTACTGTTTCCCTGCAAGACAAGACCTCACACTTTTATAATCTTTTTTTTTTTTTTTTTTTTTACAAAGGTGTGTGGTCTGGAGATACATGACGTCTCCGCGATTCCTGATAGGCGTGATTGACAGGCGGATTAACCAATCAGAGAGACGATTGGTCCGTTAATGTCAGAACGTTTACAATGTGAACTTTGAACAGAATCCGATCACACAAACATAAATCCCAGTGTCACATGTTTTTTCCCCAAATCGTGCAACGTTTTTATATGGATTTATTTCTGAATGATCCAATGAAACAAAACGCACAGCAAAGTTTTTGAAGAGGTGCAAACGCAAGGAACTCTGACAGTCTCAGGTCACCCTTATGCTCCCTCAGGTCACCCTTACACTCTCAGGTCACCCTTACGCTCCCTCAGGTCACCCTTACGCACTCTCAGGTCACTCTTACACTCTCAGGTCACCCTTACACTCCCTCGACACGCTCAGGTCACCCTTACACTCCCTCTGACATGCTCAGGTCACCCTTACACTCTCAGGTCACCCTTACACTCCCTCTGACACGCTCAGGTCACCTTACACTCCCTCGACACCCTTACACTCTCAGGTCACCCTTACGCTCCCTCGACACGCTCAGGTCACCCTTACATTCCCTCGACACGCTCAGGTCACCCTTACACTTCCCTCGACACGCTCAGGTCACCCTTACACTCCCTCAGGTCACCCTTACGCTCCCTCGACACGCTCAGGTCACCCTTACACTCCCTCAGGTCACCTCAGGTCCCTTCCCTCTGACACGACACGCTCAGGTCACCCTTACGCACTCAGGTCACCTTACACCTCTCACTCCTTACGCTCCTCAGGTCCCTTACACTCTCAGGTCACCCTTACCTCAGTCACCCTCCCTCAGGTCACCTCTCCCACCCTTCACCTCAGGCTCCCTCAGGTCAGGTCACCCTTACGCTCCCTCAGGTCACCCTTACGCTCCCTCAGGTCACCCTTACTCTCCCTCAGGTCACCCTTACTCAGGTCACCCTTACACCCTTACGCTCCCTCAGGTCGCCCTTACTTGTTGTTGAGTATCTTATTGTTTTCTCTGTTTTGTAGTACTTGTCTTGTGTACTGAGTTACTGCGATCGTTCTTGTCTGTCCTGTGTTCGTGTACAGCACTTTGACCAGCTGTAAAGTTCTTAAAGTGCTTTGTAAATAAAGTTGGTGTGGTTTGGTTTTTCCCAGATCGCAGTCGTCACCCGCACGTCTCCAAACGTCTCCCGCTTTCGTGACGTAAGCGTGACCAGAGTCCATTTAATCTCTCACATTAACACAAAGTGAAAGAGGCGCGGGCGCCCTCTAGTGGCCGTCGTGGATCTGCGGTTTGTGCCTAGAAAGTGTGTGGGCTTCAAACGGCTAAATATAACATGAAATATATTTAGAGGGAACAGATGGTTCGTAGTGCAGGTCATTTGAGCTCCGCGCTGCTACGATCCACATGACCCCAGAGAAGCTGTGTGCACTTTAAAAAACCAAATAAAAGCATGTTTTTGTTTTGTTTTTTTCATGTGTTCTTACTGTGCGTGGGGCTTGCATCTCCACAAACATGACCAGACCAGAGACATTAGAATACGTGACTTAAACTGTGAAGCCGGACTGAACCAGGACTGAACCAGGACTAAAGGACTGAACCAGGACTAAACCAGGACTGAACCAGGACTGAACCAGGACTGAACCAGGACTGAACTAAACTGAACCAGGACTAAACCAGGACTGACTAACCAGGAAACCAGGACTGAACCAGGACTGAACCAGGACTGACTAAACCAGGACTAACCAGGAAACCAGGACTGAACCAGGAACTAGGACTGAACCAGGACTGAACCAGGACTGAACCAGGAGGACTGAACCAGGACTAAACCAGGACTGAACCAGGACAACCAGGACTGAACCAGGACTGAACCAGGACTAAAACAGGACTAAACCAACCGGACTGAACCAGGACTGAACCTAAACCAGGACTGAACCAGGACTACTGAACCAGGACTGAACCAGGACTAAACCAGGACTAAACCAGGACTAAACCAGGACTCTAAACCAGGACTGAACCAGGACTAAACCAGGACTGAACCAGGTCTAAACCAGGTCTAAACCAGGTCCTAAACAGGACTAAACAGGACTAAACCAGGACTAAAACAGGACTAAAACAGGACTAAACCAGGACTAAAACAGGACTAAACCAGCTCTAGAGTTGGAAGCTGTGTGCACTTTAAAAAACTAAATAAAAGCATGTTTTTGTTTTGTTTTTTTCATGTGTTCTTAGTTTTAGTGGGGCTTGCATCTCCACAAACATGACCAGACCAGAGACATTAGAATCTCCTTCTGCTTCTTCCTTTGGGTTCAGTCTTCCAGAAAATGACAAAGTTTATCTGTGTCTGTAAGGAATGCTCCGCAGTGTGGTTTTAACTTTCTATTTTTAAGAGTTTTTAATAAAAATACAGCTGTGTGTGTTTTTGATGTGGGAAAAAAACATGTTTAAAGGAACGATATTACACAAAATTGACTCTTGTGAGCTTTAAAACATAATTATAATGTTGTTAACTTCTCAAAAACAGACCTGGAGTTGTGTTTTTGTTTCATTCACACATGTTTGAGTAACTCTTTATTATTTATTATTATGATTAGTTTGTTTACATTTCCAAAACTCAAAATGTTCGGCCTAAATAATCCGTGTGTCATTCGTTCATGCGTTTCTCAAAATAACCAAAATGAAAAAACAGATAAAGATGAGGGATGTTTTGTTGTTTTTTTATTTATTTTTTTTTTTCAGTTTTTGATTTTGTGTTTAAATGAAAAATGGAAAAAAAAACGGATAATGGAAGTTTCCCTTTACGTGACTTAAACTGTGATGCAGAACTGAACCAGGACTGAACCAGGACTAAACCAGGACTACTAAACCAGGACTGAACCAGGACTAAACCAGGACTGAACCAGGAACCAGGACTAACCAGGACTAAACCAGGACTAAACCAGGACTGAACCAGGACTGAACCAGGACTCAGGACTGAACCAGGACTAACCAGGACTGAACCAGGACTGAACCAGGACTAAACCAGGACTGAACCAGACTGAACCAGGACTGAACCAGGACTAGAACCAGGACTGAACCAGGACTGAACCAGGACTGAACCAGGACTAAACCAGGACTGAACCAGGACTGAACCAGGAACCACTGAACCAGGACTAGGACTAAACCAGGACTAAACCAGGACTGAACCAGGACTAAACCAGGACTGAACCAGGACTGAACCAGGACTAAACCAGGAAACCAGGACTGACTGAACCAGGTCTAAACCAGGACTGAACCAGGACTAAACCAGGACTAAAACAGACTAAAACAGGACTAAAAGAGGACTAAACCAGCTCTAGAGTTGGACTAAACCAGGACTAAACCAGGACTGAACCAGGACTAAACCAGGACTAAACCAGGACTAAACCAGGATTAAACCAACTAAACCAGTCTCAGTCCTAGCCTCGTTGCCAATCTCAGTCCTGGTCTTGGTCTGGTCCCAGTCTCAGTCCCGATCAGTCAGTCCTGGTTCGGTCCTGGTTTTAGTCCTGGTTCAGTCCAGCATTGCAGTTTAATTCATGGAAACGTTTTTTCCATTTTTCATTTAAACACAAAATCGAAAAAAAACTGAAAAAACTCATCGTTATCCCCGTTTTTTTTTTTTTTTTTGTTTGTTTTGTTTTGTTGTTGTTTTTTTTTTCATTTTGGTTTTGGAAAGAACTAAAGAAGAAAATAGCTGTGAAAAAACAAATGAACAAATGATATGTGGATTCTAAATGTGCAGGTTTTTTTGTGTTAAACGTGTGAAACAAAACACAAGTCCAGGTCTGTTTGTGACGAGGAGGAAACTGTGGGCCCTTTAAACTCTAAAAACAACCCTTTGTGCCTCTTTTAACACTTAATAAAATAAAAAAAAACACAAAAACCCTTGAATATTCCGCTCTCGTCACACTGCTCCATTCACACGCGGAGACGAGGAGGATCAGCGCTGACTCAAAGGGACCAGTCTGACGCCCAGAGCCCAGCCCAGAGAGCACAGAGGTGGGCATTCTCCAACAACCCCGCCCCTGCTCCTGCTCCGGGTTTAGACCAGACCAAAACCAAGACCAGACCCGGACCCGGACCCGAGCACAAGACCCCAGTGTGGAGCGGACAGGAGAGCACTGTTACACACACAAGACGCCTTCACACGCTCACTAACCTGCTGCTCTCCACGCACACGTTATTGTTTTGCAGTGTCACATTTTAGCCGTCACCACCAAGTTCAAGCGAAATGATTCGGTCTAAAAAAAAAACTTATAACACCTTATTTTTGTTTGAGCTTTACAGACTGGACAAGCCTCACAACTGTAGTCGTTACTCACTCAACCCAAAACATAAAAACACTCGACTCAGAAACACGGTCCCTCTGGTTCTGATAAACGCTGTGAAAACGCTGTGAAAACGCTGTGAAAACTCTGTGAAAACTCTGTGAAAACTCTGTGAAAACGCTGTGAAAACGTTTGTCAAAACTCTTGTCAAAACTCTGTCAAAACACTGTCAAAATGCTGTCAAAACTCTGTCAAAACGCACTGAAAACTCTGTCAAAACTCTCTTAAAACGCTGTCAAAACTCTGTCAAAACACAGTCAAAACGCAGTCAAAACTCTGTCAAAACTCTTGTCAAAACTCTGTCAAAAGTGAAAACTCTGTCAAAACTCTGTCAAAACTCTGTTACAACGCAGTGAAAACTGTCAAAACTCTTGTCAAAACTCTTGTCAAAACACGCAGTGAAAACGCTGTGAAAACTCTTGAAAACTCTGTGAAAACTCTGTTGAAAAAACGCAGTGTCAAAACTCTTGTCAAAAACTCTGTCAAAACTCTTGTCAAAACTCTTGTCAAAACTCTTGTCAAAACTCTTGTCAAAACTCTGTCAAAACGCAGTGAAAAGTCTGCCAAAACTCTGTCAAAACTCTGTTACAACGCAGTGAAAACTCTGTCAAAACTCTGTCAAAACTCTGTCAAAACTCTGTCAAAACTCTTGTCAAAACTCTTGTCAAAACACAGTGAAAAGTCTGCCAAAACTCTGTCAAAACTCTTGTACAACGCAGTGAAAACTCTGTCAAAACTCTGTCAAAACTCTTGTCAAAACTCTTGTCAAAACGCAGTGAAAAGTCTGCCAAAACTGTCAAAACTCTGTTACAACGCAGTGAAAACTCTGTCAAAACTCTGTTACAATGCAGTGAAAACTCTGTCAAAACTCTGTCAAAACTCTTGTCAAAACACAGTGAAAAGTCTGCCAAAACTCTGTCAAAACTCTGTTACAACGCTTTGAAAACTCTGTCAAAACTGTCAAAACTCTTGTCAAAACACTGTCAAAACGCTGTGAAAACGCAATGAAATCTGGATGTTTTGAGGCGTGTTCTGTCCATAAACTGAGAACGAGACAAACTTGGATGTGTCTCTGTCTCCAGGTTAAGACTCAAACCTGATTGGACGGTTCTGTCTGAATTTAACCTGAGGCACAGAGGAGGAGGTGGAGACCAGATTGAGATCCTCTGTACAAAAAACAAAAACAAAAAACAGACAGAACAGGTCTGGCTGCCAGGAAACATCCAACCACCACTGTTCATTCACTTCCACACGCCACAACAACCAGTGACCCTCTGGTTAGTGGGCACATACCGAGTCACTACAGGAAACCCCCCCTCCTCCTCCTCCTCATACTCACTGATCCTCTTTGAAGAAGGTGAAGCCGATGAAGGGCAGCTGGTTGCCGGTGAAGGCTTTGGGCGGAGGGAAAGTCTCCACGTCTCGTTTCTCATCCTCGAAGTCGTCGAAGTTGCTGGTGTCGATGTCGCTGTGCAGCTCGGGGACGACCGGGGCCACGGCTGGAGACAAACACCACACGCGGAAGAGTTACGACGAGTTTTTACACGTTAAACTAAACAGAAAAAAACTTTTGGAACTTTTCTAGGAGTGGTCCATTGTTGTACAGGTCAGATCTGGGGAGAAGTGACTCCACTCGCTGTGAGAAGGTATTTTAATAACATAAAACACACATAAAAACACACATTTACACATTCAAACTGCTGTATACAAGCGTAAAACCAGCACGTCGAGCGCAAATATGAGGCACAGTCACCCCAGAAAAATTTGAAAGTTGTAAAATGGTAACCAAAATGTCCTCTAAATATGCTGTGGATAAGAACATTTGCATTAGACGGTTTCATTTCGTGGAAACTGTCCGACCTCGCAGCATTAGGATTCATTCGCTCGACAGAAGGCAGGTACTTTTTTTATTTAACCAATCGCTGCTGTTTGGGCGTGACGTATGTAATGCTCCAAATCCCGTAGGAAGAAGGACAATAACGTCTTTCCTTTTGATAAAATTCACCAAACATTCTCTTTGTTGCAGCTTTAAATCCTCGACCTCGGGAATCGTCGCCAACGCAGAATGTCTGTCTTCGTCTACGTCCGTCTCGACGCTTTGTTTACTGTTGTGCTGTTCCACAAAAGGGACACAGACGCCACGAGTTTGACGTCACGGCTTCACAGCTGATTGGCCGGTGCGCCGTCTAAAACGTCCGGAGTTCTTGCAAACCGACTACATCAGGGGTGTCGAACTCATTTTGGTCCGGGGGCCGTGTTGGGGAGTAACAGATTACATGTACCGGAGTTATGTAATCAGAGTACAAATGATGAGTAACTGTATTCTGGGGCGCCAGCGGTGTCCTTAGGCAAGACACTTCACCCACATTGCCTAGTATGAAAGTGGTGTGAGAGTGAGTGATGGTGGTGGTCGAAGGGGCCTGATGGTGCAGACTGGCAGCCTCGCTTCCGTCAGTTTGCCCCAGGGCAGCTGTGGCTACAGTAGTAGTTTACCACCACTGAGTGTGGAGTGACTGAATAATGAATTGTAAAGCGCTTTGGGGATCTTGAAAGGCTCTATATAAATGCTATCAATATATATTCAGTTACAGTTACTGTTTCAGTGAGTGGTAATTGGATTACAGTTACTTTGTTGAAATAAACGGATTACACGGTGGGATTTTCCTGTTTTCCTGTTTTCACATTTTGGGCTATATCCCTTTTTTTTTCTTCGGTAATTCCACTCATCACCGGAAACCAGGTCTAAACCAGGTCTAAAACCAGGACTAAACCAGGACTAAAAAGGACTAAAACAGGATTTAACAGGACTAAATCCTGCTGTGTGGACGTGTCTCCTCGTCTTCTAGCAATAATATTTTTAATCTGGTTAACTAAAGTCTGGGCTTTTTTATTTTCTTTTATCAGACAAAACATCTTATGTTACAATCTCCTGGTCTTTGCTTCTCTACAGCAAATCAAGTAATCCAAAGTATTCAGATTACATTACTCACTTTAAGTAATTTAATGGATTACGTTACAAACTACATTCTGGAGTATGTAATCTGTAATCTGTAGGGGATTACATTTTAAAAGTCACCTTTCCAACACTGTCCGGGGGCCGTATCCAACCGACTTTGATCCCAAAGGTGTCCGGATCAGAAAACTCATGTCATATAAACCCCAAAAATAACAATAAATTCAAATATTTGTGCAGAGAAACGCAAATCTATTACAGAAATCTTTTTTAATTGATGAACTCTTTCTTTTACAAAATATTATAATATTATGAACAACCTGAAACTTTAAGAAAAATGCAATTTCAACACAAAGTTTTAACATGAACTTGCAAATAGGAATAAGTGAATTTTTGTTGTAAAATCCTGCACTCGGCTCCACTTTTCTCATGTTGGACATTTTTCTGATGAGGGTGTCACGGTCAACAGTCAAAACGATCGTCCTTTAAGAGCGTTTGGAAAGAGACAAGTCTTCATTTGTGCTGCTCTGGTGGGAGGGGCCACGTACAGAGACGCTGGAGACGCTGCTGTGATAAACACCACAGAAAATTAACAAGATTTTAACAGAAAATATAATTAAAATATTTGAGCAGAAAATCAACCGAGGGCCAGATTAAAGGTCTTGGAGGGCCGGATCTGGACCCCGGGCCGTATGTTTGACACCCCTGGTCTTGTGTGGTCTGATTCCTGATCTCGTCGCTGGAGAGAAATGAGATGGCGTCAGTAGTCGACTCCAGTCTGGTTTATATTTGTCAAATTCTGGTCCAGATGTTTTCTTTTACGACATTACAGGAGGAGGGTCTGACGAGTTTTGGTGTGTGCGTGTGTGTGTGTGTGTGCGTGTGTGTGTGTGTGTGCGTGTGCGTGTGCGTGTGCGTGTGCGTGTGTGTGTGTGTGTGTGTGTGTGTGTGTGTGTGCGAGTGCTGTTTCTGCTCGGCACATGTGTGGAGTCATTTAAAGAGCAGGAGCTGACCGCAGCACTTCACACACTGGAGCTTTTGTACCTCACACGAACGCAAACACACACACACACACACACGACACACACACACACACACACACACACGACTCGCTCCACACAAGGCCCAGTGTGACGTACGGACGCACACTTCACACCAGGTCAGACCAGATCCAGGCCAAAGTGAGACCAAAGTTCAACACCGACACGGACGCTTTTGGTTTGAAGTTGTTCCTCCGCTGGGTCATGAAACTCTAAAAAAGTCTAGAGTCCAGTGTTTTGGAAACTTTTTTTCTGGTGATCCATATTTTAAAAGTCACAAACCTTCGCGATCCAAGTCCATAGACGTTATTCGTAAATCACAAAAAAATAAAGGTGGGTTTGAGCGTAACTGAACATGAACCCTTTAGACGCCAGAGGTTTTTTCGTAAAACGTTCGATTTTGAAATCTTAGTCCTGGTTTAGTTCTGGTTTAGTCCTGGTTTAGTCCTGGTTCAGACCTGGTTTAGACCTGGTTTAGACCTGGTTTAGACCTGGTTTAGACCTGGTTCAGTCCTGGTTCAGACCTGGTTTAGACTTGGTTTAGCCCTGGTTCAGTCCTGGTTTAGCCCTGGTTCAGTCCTGGTTCAGTCCTGGTTTCTGGTTACTGGTTTCTGGTTCAGTCCTGGTTCAGTCCTGGTTTAGACTTGGTTTAGCCCTGGTTCAGTCCTGGTTCAGTCCTGGTTCAGTCCTGGTTTAGTTTAGACCTGGTTTAGACCTGGTTCAGTCCTGGTTCAGTCTGGTTCAGTCCTGGTCCTGGTTTTCCTGGTTTCTGGTTTAGCCCTGGTTTAGACCTGGTTTAGACCTGGTTTACTGGTCCTGGTTCAGTCTGGTTTAGACCTTAGTTTAACCTGGTTCTGGTTTACCTGGTAACCTGGTTAGACCTGGTTAGACCTGGTTCAGTCCTGGTTCAGTCCTGGTTTAGACCTGGTTTCCTGTTAGTCCTGTTCAGTCCTGGTTTAGACCTGGTTTCCTGGTTCAGTCCTGGTTAGTCCTGGTTTAGACCTGGTTTAGACCTGGTTCAGTCCTGGTTCAGTCCTGGTTTAGACCTGGTTAGACCTGGTTCAGTCCTGGTTCAGTCCTGGTTTAGACCTGGTTTCAGTCCTGGTTCAAGTCTGGTTTTAGTCCTGGTTTAGCCCTGGTTCAGTCCTGGTTTCCTGGTCCTGGTTTCTGGTTAGACCTGGTTTAGACCTGGTTCAGTCTGGTTTAGACCTGTTTACCTGGTTCAGTCCTGGTTCAGACCTGGTTTCAGTCCTGGTTCAGTTCCTGGTTCAGTCCTGGTTCAGTCCTGGTTTAGCCCTGGTTCAGTCCTGGTTTACCTGGTTCAGTCCTGGTTTAGTCCTGGTTTCCTGGTTCCTGGTTCAGTCCTGGTTCAGTCCTGGTTTCAGACCTGGTTAGACCTGGTTCAGTCCTGGTTCAGTCCTGGTTTCAGTCCTGGTTTAGCCTGGTTCAGTCCTGGTTCCTGGTTCAGTTAGTCCTGGTTTAGCCCTGGTTCAGTCCTGGTTTCAGTCCTGGTTTAGTCCTGGTTTAGCCTGGTTCAGTCCTGGTTCAGACCTGGTTTAGACCTGGTTCAGTCCTGGTTTCAGTCCTGGTTTAGTCCTGGTTTAGCCTGGTTCAGTCCTGGTTTAGCCCTGGTTCAGTCCTGGTTTAGTCCTGGTTTAGACCTGGTTTAGACCTGGTTCAGTCCTGTTCAGTCCTGGTTTAGTCCTGGTTTAGCCCTGGTTCAGTCCTGGTTCCAGTCCTGGTTTAGCCCTGGTTCAGTCCTGGTTCACCTGGTGGTTAGACCTGGTTTAGACCTGGTTCAGTCCTGGTTCAGTCCTGGTTTTAGCCCTGGTTCAGTCCTGGTTTAGCCCTGGTTCAGTCCTGGTTTAGTCCTGGTTTAGCCCTGGTTCAGTCCTGGTTTAGCCCTGGTTCAGTCCTGGTTTAGTCCTGGTTTAGCCCTGGTTCAGTCCTGGTTCAGTCCTGGTTTAGACCTGGTTTAGACCTGGTTCAGTCCTGGTTCAGTCCTGGTTTAGACCTGGTTCAGACCTGGTTCAGTCCTGGTTCAGACCTGGTTTAGACCTGGTTCAGTCCTGGTTCAGTCCTGGTTTAGTCCTGGTTTAGCCCTGGTTCAGTCCTGGTTTTAGTCCTGGTTTAGACCTGGTTCAGTCCTGGTTCAGTCCTGGTTTAGCCCTGGTTCAGACCTGGTTCAGACCTGGTTTAGACCTGGTTTCAGTCCTGGTTTAGTCCTGGTTTAGTCCTGGTTCAGTCCTGGTTCAGTCCTGGTTGACAATGTATTTAGCAAAATCTTCTGTTTCATTCAGAGCATCTTGTCAACTTAAGTCGACCGCTTCACCTCGAGACGATTAATGAGGATATTTTATTGTCGACTGAGAGATCGAGTCTCTGAACAATTAGTTTTACTCAAATTTTAAGCAATAAAAGGATCCATAAGTCAAATATTTGGACTTTAAATATTTTTCTTTTCAACATTTAACTGAACCAGCAATATAGTCAATAAAATAATTGC